TTTCAGTGATAGCATAAAATAGAAAAAGTTTGTTCTGAACTGTCATAGCCAGAAAGAAAAAACCAAAATTCTCCATTAATCATTGAAGTATGAACGTACCGTTTTTGTGCCATATGCATTCTGCTATGGTTATGCCTTCCAGTGCATTTCAGTTACCGCGCCATATGTGGCACAGTGGAATCCATGGTATTGCAGTTGTGGGTTTCAACCACAAAACGAATTATTTTATTGCAGCGATAAAATATGCAAATGCTTCCTTCAGCTGTCTCACTATGCAGTTGAGCAAGATAGCGCATGTCACATGGTACGTTATCATGAGCGTCTTTGTCTGTGTTGTCTCTGTCGTTGAACCTTCCTCGTGTGTTTTTTTGTCAGTTTGTGCAGCTTGAAGATTATATGTGTTGATAATATTTCGCACTACAAGTATCACAATGTGTCGAAAAGAGTTCGACTATTTATATTCCTCAGGCAGCAAGTTTTCTAGTGTATACTGGTAGAAGATCACATCTGATGCTTCAATAATAGAAACGTAACTTTGGAAACTATTAGAGACAGTCATGTGTGCAGACGTTAGAATAGCAATCATAAGAGCAGAGAAGATAGTTCACGACACATAAAGGCTATTCAAACAGGTATTGCCATTAAACCAATAAACAAAATTTCGATAAGATTGAAAAGCAAAGTGCTGCAGTCATTCAAATTAAAATGGGGCGCACGGATTCAAATTTTTCATCAGTCGACCTGCTCATCTAATCATTACATGGTAAAGACCGGGAAGGCCAGTTTAATAGCAATGGAAATGAGTAGATTCAAATCTGTAGTACTTTGTATCAGTGAAACCCATTGGACTGAAGCTGGATAGCAAAAGCTAGATACTCCCGCAGTTACTCTTATGCTATCCAGAGAAGCATGAAATGCACTTTTTGGGATGGAAAACTAAAGGATTCAAAATTATCAAAGCATCCTTCAAAACAATGAAAGAAGGCATTACAATGAATGTTCACCAACGATAGAAACGTAGACAATCAGGATCAGTTTTACTCGACGATGCCTTCAGTCATAGTTAGGTGTTCAATAAAGGACCTCACCATCCTGACGAAAGATCTAAACTTTAAATTCAGAGTGGACAACAAAAGATATGAAGTTATAATTGGACGACATGGACTAGGAGAGGAGAACAAAATTAAGGATAGGTTTATAAATATATGTGCACTCAATAATTTGGTAATAAGCGGCACAATAATACCACACAAACGTATACACAAAGCTATATGGATCTCACTCGACCATAACACGGATAGCCAGACCTACTATATTCAATACAGTAAAATATTCAGAAGGTCAATATAGGATGCGAGAACCAGGAGATAAACGAACATAGCTCCAGATCACAACTAACTGGTAGTTAACAAGATGAGTCTGAATCTCAAGAAGCACTGAACAACTGAGGGAACAGCACTAAAGATTCAATTAAACACCTCTTCAGTGTACTGACAAACTGAATGAATTCAAAATAACTCTCAACAACAGTTCGTAGTCTTACGGAGTCTACTGAAGAATCAAGACGCTACAATGGGGAACAACTGAAAAAAGGGAACAAACAAACACAAACTTGAAAGTGATTTGTAACAGATATCATCATAAGGAATGGATCTCCATCGAAATTCTGAACAACACTCAATAAAAGAAGAACAATAAGGCAACAATTAACAACAGTCGACCAAGAAGAGATAAAAATGAGGCACAAGTTGAATACACAGAAGCAAAGAAGCAAGTGAGGTGGAGTCATTGAGCTGACAAGCAGAAATATGTGGAGGAGCTAGGAACGACAGTGGAAAAGCTGCAAGAGAAAGAAATATGAAACAACCATATGACACGTAGGAGAATCTAGCAGGGAAATGTAGTAAACCAGAGAGAACGGTTAGGGACAGAGAGGACAAAAGATCACTGAAATTCAAGGACAGAGGAGTAGATGGGTTGAACACGATTGGAGGAAATTTTAAATGGACCAGTTCCACCAAACCAACTGGATCTCGAAACAGCATACCCAGATCATCTTGTTGATGTCATTCGATCAAACATCGAAAACGTTGAGACGTCCCTCTCAAAAATGAAGATCGGGAAATCGGCGGGACTTGCCGATGTACCAACTGAAGCACTGATGTCAAATATTGTAGTAGTTGCAGACATGCTCCACCTATTCAGGAATATTTTGGAGGAGGAACAAATGCCATTGACAAACAGGAAGGAAAAAATACCGGTAACCGCCCGAAAAGTAAGAACACGGTGTACTTCCACAACAGATAGATTTTTGAAGTCGAAAGACACGGTCCGAGTACTAAAAAGGGGAACTTAATGGGTTAAAGTTTTCTTCCTTGTTCTGCAGGTTCAGATCGCATATGACTTGTTCCTCTTCTTCCAGTGGTTTACTCTTTGTCGCCTTGCAATAATATTAACAAACTCGGATTAATAACGTTGCATGTAATGACATTTTAAATACCGTTACACTACAAAATTTATTCACCGTTCGATTTGTAAATCTTCTTTTGTGAATATGTGATCGTAGCTAATACCCATTAGAAGAAACTGGAAAGCCTTGTTATATTTCATATTTAAATCTGTTTACTGAATAATATATATGCTGACACCAATGCGACTAATGATTGATGGTGTAGAAGTAGGTTAGAGGGAAACCACGGTGGCCAAAACAAAACACTTAACTATTGTGCCACGTTCTACGATGCGTATTTGTAAGTGGCTGATACTGGTAACGTTATGAGTTGTTGAGTGTTGACAATGTGTTGGGATACAATCACTACAAACTATGATGCGGCTTGAGTTTATTTTTACTGCGAATGCGGTACGCTTGAAGTTTGCGTTACACTTACACGTTATTTATTATAAAGTGCTTTTATATCGTTAAACCCTAGTTCATAAATCAATAATAACATTCAATTAACCCTTGAAGAAAAATCGTTCGACTGACACAAAAACGAGTTCAAAAAATTCCTATTTCTTCAAATATTAACAACCCTGGTCGTACATATACCCCATGCTCTGACACTCCTGTTGCACCAGATAATAGTGGCAGTGGACTTATAGTGACTGATAGTGTATTGACATATAATTCGAGGTGTAGTAAACTAGGGCTTGACCCTTTATGGAAGAGGAGACTCAAACTTAACCTTATCTTCTCTTTCAAAATACTTAACAAACTCTCCTTCACATCCAGCCAGGCGATTCAATATGCTAAAGCCCCACATTACGACATTCGTAACTCCTTGTGTTTAGCGAAACGAATATATTCTAGATCTTCTCTCTATATGAATTACTTTACCTGTAAATTTTCTAGGCTCTGGAAAAATTTACCTCAAACTATCCGAATGTTAAACTCTCTCCCATTGTTTGTTCACTCAATTAATGCTTTTTGCTCCTCTGAAAATGCATTAAATGCTCTAGCGCTTGCAAGTGTATCTTACTCCACAAGTGAGATTATCGGAACTTCAAGTGTTTAACCTCTTACTTGCTATCATTGTTTTGTTGTTCCATGCTCTTTGCTTTAATCTTACTTTCTGTAGTTGTAGATGATTATCAATAACTCGCTTTGGCACTCGACATAACCTTGCAGAACAGCGTTGATTAAACATCAGGTTATCCACTTAAGAAAAAATGACAAGTTCCCTGGTGTTGCATTGGCCTGCCATATATAAACTATTTATCAATTACTAAATCAGTAAACATAAAACTTTCTTATATTTCATGTTTGTCCTGTACATTAAATGTTGCTTTTATATCAATCTGATCATGCCTGTAAACTGGTGTGAATTCTGTAAATATTATATTCAGACTATATTATTATATATATATAATGGATAGATGCCATGATTATTTATCAGAATTTATTGACTGTTTTTACCTGGAAAAAGGTTGTTTGTCACTAAGTTTAAGTAGAGATACTATCGTAAATCTTCTTTTGTGAATATGTGATTCTAGCTAATACCCATTAGAAGAAACTGGAAAGCCTTGTCATATTTCATATTTAAATCTGTTTACTCAATAATATATATGCTGACACCAATGCGGACAATGATTGATGGTGTAGAAGTAGGTTAGAGGGAAACCACGGTGGCCAAACCAAAACACGTAACTCTTGTGCCACGTTCTACGATGCGTATTTGTAAGTGGCTGATACTGGTAACGTTATGAGTTGTTGAGTGTTGACAATGTGTTGAGATACAATCACTGCAAACTATGATGCGGCTTGAGTTTGTTTTTACTGCGAATGCCTCTTTTAAGTGCTTTGCTGATGATCAAATTTTAAAGACAAAATATAAGTGCTATATTTTGGTGAAGATATCTGTATGGGTAACTCATACAACCTTTTAATAGACAATTATTCTATATATATTCTTATTGTTTAACTGTCGAGTATTTATATTGCGTATATCTATATTCATCTTATTATATGCCTCATTTCGAACTTTGAATTATTATAATACGATTTACTGTCTCCAGATTATATTCAGTTTATTGATTATTGTCTCTCACGTTCGCTCTATCTTGTACAATTATTATTTTCTATTTTATGGTGTGATGTGGTCTGTCTGTTTGTCTGGTATATAAACCAAGTATGCTTGAAATGAATGATTCGCATAGCAGAAGCTGTAATTGGTGTTTTTGGACTCAATTGGAAGTGCTAGGCGGATAAAGGACCAATAAGAAGGCTAGACAGATCATACTGGTCGAACGTCAATAATTTGTTACAGTGTTTAGATTAAACAAGTCGTATTTGTATTGATGGATAGTTTACATGATAGAAAGCCTGACATTAATTCTTAACGAATTGGCGACGACCCTTCATAAATTTCATAACCATAAGTTCTGAGTATTTAGCATGATTTACACTTCTTGTCTACATATTTAAGGGAGGGTTACAATTTCATCTTTCACTATTTGAGAAGTAAAGTACAGGATTATTTTGCAAGCCAAAATAACAGACCATGAGGTAAGATATATTTTCATAGTCTGTTCATTCATTCGTGCAGATATTCAAGAAACGAATTCAATTTGTCCGTTGTTTTATGGTTACCTCTATTGCCTGTTTTAATGCTTTGTGTCGAAGATTACTTCAGAAAGAAGACATCCTCGAAAACAGACCTGTGCTGTAAAGGCCTGATTAATAATGTATCAGTTGCGAAAGAAGGAGTAGATTGGATTCCAACTCAGATTTTACGTCTTCGTAGATCATTTGACTTCAGGTGAATGAAAATATCAATTTTTATTTTATCGTACGCAAAACTGAATTTTTTGAAAACAACTAATACTTTCAATGGCGTTGAAAAGTTATTTATGACGGATTGATTGAAAGTGTGGATTTCGTTATCAAATGTATAAATTTGTCCTCGAAATAAATTCACTTTTAGTTATTTAGTATTCCGGTACTTGTCATCTCATTAGATTTGCTTGATGGCTGTTGTACTGTCCGCGTGCCTAGACCGAAGCAGGTGATTTTCTTATGCTGTCACACCCCCAGCCATTGACCTACAGATCTGCTCCATAAGGCAGTGAAGCATCGTAACGAGATACAGTCCCATGTTAGCCGGTGGCCAGCAGTTTGTTCATACGCCATTTCATCCCTCAGGATTCTGGAGATAATGTGCATCACCGGTTTGGAATCAGTTTTCCAACTCTTCTAGATGGACTTTCCTTGTCTAACGGCCCGGTTAAATAGCTAGACATTCTCTTTTCGTGCTGTCAATTTTGTAAAGAACACCTTCGTCACGAGAAAGCGATGGGTAAGCTTTCGCTGGTAGGGACTGTATACGTGTGGCCGTGTGAGAGCATTTCGACAGAGGGCAGGCGCTCCTCACACTTGACGCTACCAAGCCATTTGGTGGCACTGTGCGATGAAAATTATGTTGCTATGCTTCAGCAGAACAACTCATATCAGTATAACAACACTTATACGAAACACAGCATTTCTTAGTTAATACTAATGAACTTTTCACTTCTGTGTTTCAGTGAACGCATCTCAATGAAAACCACCAGGAATGGTCAGATAACAAGTAGGTTGGTTTTTTCTTTGTTGTTCAATAATAATCGTAATAAAAGTGATGGTGGCTTTATTAAGTGCTGTGTTCAGTAAAATAATGGACTTTGGTCATACAATATTTACACAAGTTCATCTTACTCTTCTCATAATGCAAAATATATCTGCATATGCATCTACGTGAGATAGGTACAGGAATTATCCCTTTGAAAACTATCGTGCTCATTCACTATTCTTCACACCAATTTCATCCTTTGTGGTAGGTAAAACCTACGTTTATTTTCATTTGATTATGGATTTGGTTCAATCAATTGTGAATGTCAATTTTGTGAGTTGATAGAGATTTGTGGTAGATACAACAAGAGCCATTCAACTTCGTACGTATTTTTTTCACTACATGGTATCATGATCTATCTGAGTATTTTCTAAATGAAAAAGTGAATACATATTTAATTCCATAAATAATGGTGGATCATGTGTTGCATGAAGTGAACTGAGTGACTTATATGAAATGTGTTCCAACTTGTGGCCTGGATGCCGTGCTAATGTATAACGTGATAATACCGCCAATTAGAGAAAAGTGGTTTACCAATCGGAGCAGTGACGCATCAAACTCGTGCTAGCAGTCTAGTGCAATTATCGGTCCTGCTTCCTGCCTCGCTCAGTCAGTTAAGTCCACAGCACCAATAACAGCCTCTGTGGTATGATACATAATCTTTTTGTTATTCATATTGGAATACACAGATAAATGTGCCTTGACATTTGTAATGAACTCACGTGATTTATCAAAGCTCGATTCATCTGCGTAAAAATCGAATGTAGAACATGCATTTGCCCCATACTCATTAGGATATTATTGGACTTCTCTGTTTGTACAAAGTTCACTTCTAGGCAAACTGGTTCCCTTATTGCTTCAGGAAATTTCGCTATCTCCTCTGATTCATCATACTGCCGACTAGGGTTTCTACTCGACATTCAATGTTCATGATAATATTCAACATCCGATACAATAACATCAGAAATGTGACTAGAATTTGACTCACTCAGAACATATTTGTCACAATCATTAGGGTTATCCCAGAGATAAATTCATTGTGATGACGAATAACATCAGAATTCGACATTTACCTTGAATTTATTACGAAATTCATTGGAAAACAATAGATCATTAGAAAAATTACCATCGACCAAAACTGATTCTGTTGTTTGATTGTTATTTTAGTCATTTCACATATTATTCTCAGAGTTGCAAGATATTCCATCAGAAATATATGAAGTATTATAACAAACCATATCTGTTACAATCACGCAAGAAGAATCACAGTCACAAAATTCAGTATTAGTTTCATCGAAATGAACCTAGATATTACAAACTAACTGAATGTGTACAGTTTTGCCACACTTAAAACATTTAGAATTACGAAATACACATGGGTTACTAGGTGATACTTGCCACAGAACAAGCAGTTATCAAACGTGTGCTCATCTTCTAGAACTGTTTCATAATTTAATGAGTTGTTTTCTGAATATACTTGATAGCATATTGGAGTGCGACAACGTAGTGAAGTATGGAAATTCCCGATGTCCTTGCGAGGCATATCACTGAATTTTTTACCCTTACGGCATTTGAAAATTGTATAATTTACATAGTCCAGCAGTAGTTGCTTGAGAGATGTATAACGTAGTCAAATCGGCCTTTCTGAAAATGCCAAATACTTAATTGAGCTATACGCTTCTATTCTGAAGGACGTAAGTAAATGGGTCGCAATAATGAAATCCTCAATAACTTCCTTGGTCATAGCCCAGATTGAGAACCTCTCCATGCAATCTTCGGGACATAACAGAATTGTAATATTTCATCAGAGTAAATGATTACTGGATTAAATCAATTGATCTAAAACTTAGCACGCCCAGCTAGATTCAAACTCTGAACATAGCGACGTGGCGCGCGAATGCTTAAACTTCAGAACATTCGGCCGGCATCTAACGGTGTTAATGTTTAACTTCAACTGATTCACAAAACCGAGCTTAACATCTACCATTTGCTTACAGCCGACCTGGTTGAACTTCACTGGTCACTATTTCTCACAAGAATTCCAGAAAATACATCTACGAGTCAGTCACTAGTGAGCATATGTTGAATAATATCAGTAGGTTTTTGGATGTTAAAATAATTTTAATGGTTAAGATCATTAGTCGATTGAAGCTAGACCGCCACGGAAAACCTAGAAGCGCTGCTGAGGAGTCTATTAATAGAACGAAATTGCCGGGAGGTTTTAGCTGGATGTAGGTTGGAATACAGCATGTTCCGTACAGGATTGTGTTGAGGCATGCTGATTGACTATTTTTTTATCCTAGCAGCGCTTGTGGGTACTGGAAAAAGACTCTAATGTGTTATGTCAAGAATATAAATATATGATGGTTTTTCTTATCATGATTCTTACTTTCATTCAATCTTGGGTTTTCCAGAAAATTGTGGAGTGCTATTTATCATATTGAAAGTAATAAGTAATAATCAGTCAATCGGAAACTCTTAATGTGACTTTTCACTCTCGTGATGTTTCCAGCAGAACTACGGGTCAAACGTCGATTGCATAAAATACTTCCTAGTGCTTTCTAAACTTGTCAAGTGCAAAAAAAGTTTAATGATCTCTACAACAATTATCATAAGAAAATCATTGTGCACTTGTGTCTCATGAATTATTATATGATTTATAACTAGTTAGGATTGTGCGATGAATCAATGTAATTGATTTGACTGATATATTCCATTGTCGTAAACTAGTATAAATGTGCATGTAATTTATAATAAGAGGAAATATTCAACTTGAATATTTTCATTTCAGATGAAAATCGGATTGGTATTTCTCATGAAACACTTAGACGTCGTGCTTTGAATTACATACATGAAGCACAGAACACTTTGAAGAACCTAAACAGCATTTCTACGCAATTACGAGGACTGAATCACAAGGATTTGGACATTAAAATAGTTTCATCTATGCAAGCATTATTAATTCGCTATCGACAGAATGTTGAGGATATTATTTTACATTTGGAAATTGTACTTAACAAACTAGGTCAATTGGATGGATTTTCACAAATCAGAGTGATTGGCCTAAATAATCTTGCACAGAGATTACAGAAGAAAATTCAAGAGCAACAGGTTGGAATCTATCAATTTTAAACCAATTTAAAATAAATGAACTTCTTGAGATTCTGCAAAAGTACGGAAATAAATTAGACCTGCGAAATGTCGTTCGATTACCCTTGAAGTACTTATGTGACAACTTTTGCATAGGATGAGCAGTGAACAATTATATTGAGTATTAAATTGATTTGTTTGATACTAGACACCAGTTGGACAACTCATCCACCATAAGTCACCGCAGCTGAAACAAGATAACGTCGTTCACCTGAATGGCATGTATTTTATTCGTCTAGGCGTAGATACAAAAGATGTGTACATTCTCAGGACTGTTACGGACAATTGAGCGCTGGTCGCTCAACAGCAATCTCCAACCCCCTCTAACTTGGACCTTTGTTTCTAATTCCATCCAATTTTCGTTGGCAGCCTTGTGACGCAGTTGAGTGCTTTCCTCAATGTGTTCTATCCACTTCCAGCACTTCTTCCCGATTTCTTCCTTCGTTGGAATCTGGTTTGTTCTCTCACACAGTAGAATGTTGGTGATAGTGTCTGGTCAACTGATCTTGCGTAGACAACTGTTAATAAACACCTGTTTCTTCGGGATGATGGCTTTCGTATTTCTCCACGTCTCCGCCACATACATTACAACTGTCTTGACATTTGTATTGAAAATTCTGATCTTGGTGTTGATTGGCAATTGTTTTGAGTTCCAGATGTCCTTCAGTTGTAAATAAGCTGCTCATGCTTCGCCGATCTGCACATTCACATCCACATCAGATCCACCGTGTTCACCAATGATGTTGCCCAGATGTGTAAGGAATTTTACATCCTCCAACGCTTCTTCGTCGAGTGTGATTCGATTGATGTATGTTGTGTTGTACCGCAGCATCTTCCTTTTCCTTCTGTGTGTGTTGAGACTCACTGCTGCTGAGGGTACTGCTTCTACACTGGTCTTCTTCTCCTGTATTTGTGGTTGTATGTGTGATAGAACATCCAAAACATCTGCGAAGTCTAAGTCGTCAAGCTGCATCCTAGCTGTCTATTGAATCCTTCCAGATGTTGACGTTTTCATGATCCAGTCGATCACCAGGAGAAAGAGAAAGTGTGAGAGTAAGCAAGCGTGTCTAACAACTGTCATTACGTCGAGTGAGTCGGTGAGTTGTCCTCCATGAACGATTTGACAGTTTAAACTCTGTTTTTGGTATTTTCACCAGGAGTCCGTATTTCCAGTCTGTTGGAGTTTGTTCTTCATCACAAATCTTACTGAAGAGAATGTGGTATTTCTTCGCAGTTGCTGCTACTTCTACTTTCGGTGCATCAACTTAACTGTTATTGTTGTCCGGTCCCCCTACTTTCCAGCACTTGACCTGTCCGATGGCCATGCTGAATTTCAATTTTTGGTGGGCCAACATCGATTGAGATTTCCGAGGGTGTTGCTTCAATTTTGGGTGGATTCAGTGGAGCTGGTTGATTCATTAGTTTTTTGATGAGTTCTATCCACCTGTTCTTGCGTTCTTCAATGTTGGTGATTACCTTGCCCTCCTTGATTAACCTTGGTCGCTCCTGTTTACGGTAATTTCCAACAAGTTTCTTGATTGTATCATACAGTTGTCTCATGTTTCCTAATCTTGCAGCCTTTTCCGCCATCATTGTCAGATCTGACACAAAGTATCAACAGTAATCCATTCATTGTGGTGGTTCTTCTTGTGGCCCAGAACCTCCTGACATGTTGACATGATTGATTTTTTATCTCTTTCCAGTAGCTATCCATAGTAGTTCCCTGTCCATTGAGTAGATCATGAAGGGCCTGGAACTCATTGTTGAGGGCAATCTTGAATTTGTTGAGTTTTTCGACGTCCCGAAGAAGAGCCGTATTAAACTTTTGTTATGTTCTCCACACCAGTTGGCAGTGCTTCCTAGGTTTTAATTTCATCTTGTCGACCAGCAAGTGATAATATGATGCTATATTCGCTCCTCTTCTTGTTCACACATACTCCATCGTCCTCCTGAAAATTTTGGTGATACAGATATGGTCGATTTGGTTCTGCGTAGTGTTGTCCGGTGAAGTCCATGTGTTTATGTGAATGTGTTTGTGTGGTAATATAGTGCCACCTATAACCAGTTTATCGAAGACACATACATTAGATAAACTCTCACCATTTTTGTTCCTTCCTACAAGTTCTTGTCGTTCCATAGCCACTTCGTACCCAGTCTTGTCCATTCCAACCTTGGCATATAGATAATCCACCTAAATGGTCAGGTTCTTTTGTTGGGAATCATTGCAACTCCTTGTGTATGTGTGGCCTTTTTCTTCTTCATGGACGGAGTAAAATAGAAGCTTCGCTGAAGCTAGTCGTTGTTGCCCAACCTGTGTTCAATGTGTTTCAATGATTCCAAGCACACCCAGGTTGTAACTCCTCGTTTCTGCAGCAATTTGGGATATTTTTCCGGTCTCCCACATTGTACGAGCATTCCAAGTGCCCACATAAATGGTTTTTCTGATTGTTAGAACGTGAATCGGTCTCATAACTTCCGAAAAAAACTCAGCATTCAACATGAGGCGTCATAATTATTCCCTCCACTCTCAAGGTAGACCTTAAATGGCTTGAATTATTTTTTCCGGTTAGCGCTTTTTTAGAGAGTTAGTTTTCCACGGATGTGGTTGATAGTCACATGCACAACTCTCCTCCTTCGTTCGGCCTTGTGACCGGTAGAATCCTCCTGAGTAGCAAAAGACGGCGTTGAATACAATAAGTTAGAAAACACACACGAAAAATCTGATATCTTCCTCGTTTTCTATGATTCTTTGTGAACCAACAATCAACAATTGTGCACAGTCACCTACGAAACAATCTATCGATTGAATGCTAAAACATAAATACTATAAAATTTCCTATTTTGTTGAATATTTTGTATGAGTAAGGTGTGACATGAACTAGTTGATTACAGCATCACTAGCACATATTTATATAGGCGTTGCTATTATTATTTAATCGAATAACTTGCATTTTACCCTGTAATCATCTATACATAGAATCCGTCAGATTGCAAAATGGCCAAATATGTGACTTTTGACTATACTAATTTTTGTGGATTTGGTTGTTCCATGCATCAACTCATGTTCTGTCTTCAATTGGCTTTTGAAAAAGAACGCGTTTTAGTAGTGAAGAATTATCGTCCCGGAGATATTTTTCACGAATGGCTTCATCAGAACACACTTCCACTCTCTGAAAAATGTAGTCATGAGGACACAAATGGTAGATCAGGTTTGTAAACGATATATTTATTATCGATTTGTTGTAATTTTCAGACCTTTATGATTGTATTGAACTGTTCAGTAGAACATTTTGAATTATCTTTTGACTGCAAATTATTCACTATATCCATCAATCGACATAGCGCTCTTTACTATTTACATAAAAAAACGTGTTAAAAAAATCGTATTATTTGCGAAATTTCAGGTCCCATTGTTCTTTCTAATATTGATAAAATTTCGCTTAATCACTTTTGACAACTGAGTAAATTTCCGACTCACAAATCAGTTATTATCTTAGATTGATGGACACTCGAAACGCAATTTTACGTACAATTTTTCAAGCTTAATATAAATTTTCGTCCTCTTGTCCACTTCAGATAACATCAAATGTCCTTATAATATACATGATCTCGTAGCACACAACTGGTTGCCACATGTTCTACCGATAGATATGAATGAAGAATTATTGCGCTTACATGAGGCACCCTATGTTTGGTTCGCTGGCCAACTGGCAGCCTACATTTTGCGTCCAAAGCCAAAATTTTCAGAACTAATCAATGCAACCTTGAAGACCTTTAAAGCGAGTGGTGATCCTGTAGTTGGAGTGCATATCAGACGTACTGATAAGGTTGGTGTTTGTTCATATACCTCGTAAGAATATGGTATGATGCACTTTATTGTTAACTGTTCAGAATCTTGACAGTGCATGTTCAAAATGTAAAGCATGTTTTCAGTTTGTTGTAGTACTTTTGTCTTTGGATTAAAATACGTTTGAAATTTTTGTCTGTCATCCACAAATCATTATCTTTCTCAACAAAATATTGGTTGACAGATTTGGTTGAGTTTGATATATTTGGTTCTGCGTAGGTTTGGGTTTATTTTTTAAATCAGATGTTTTAATGAAATAAATAATTAATGACATTATTTGACGCAAGTAATTTAGTTAAGCTCTACTGCTATTGGTCGTATTTCCGTATAGATATAAACATCGAACTATTGTTCTACTGACCACTGGTGTATTGTTGTTCTTCAGAATACATGTTCGGAGGTGAAGCCATCTAAATACTCACATTTTAGATGGAAAGGTGGCACAAGTACATTAAGTTCATTACATTGTTGAAAAACTTGTTTATTTTCTGGCTTCGGTATATCAAGAAATAAATGCGAGTAGACCCATTACAGTACGTATCCCTAATATACTTTCACTTGAGATGGTGGAGAGGATTTTGTAGCTCAGGTGGGTGATTTTGATGTTGGTTTGTTCTCTGAGCTGTATGATTTGGCCGTGGAGCTTCCATCGTCGTTCTCAACGACATCATCAGCACAAACTTCGGGTAGAAGTGAAGTGTTTGAACTTCTTCACATGTGATTCACAGCTTGTCCTGTGCACCCCGAAGTTGTTTGGTTCTCATTGACTTTAAATCTGTCATTGTTTATTTCTTTGTTTTGGTTGTATCTCTAATTGGTTTGATTTTTGTTCCTATGTTTCTGCATAATTCTCTTGATTGGTTGATAAATTGGATTGATTTCAATGTGCTTGTTTATTGTTATTGACCTGAGTGCCAAGCTTTTAAAAATTCTCTGTTGTTTTAGGAATTGCCTTCTTCCAAAATCTCCACATTTCTCCAGTCGAATATATGTCCGTAGTTGTTCACGTGTATTGATATGTGTGAAGAAATGTCATGTCATTTGGCTGCTAATTGATGTTCGTGTAGGCGAAGATGAAGAGGGCGCTCGCTTTGTCCGATGTATTGTTTGTCGCAGTTGGAACAATTTATTTTGTAGATGATGTTTGTCTTGTTCTTTTTTCTCATTTCTTCATTTGGTTTGCATGAGACTGAGTGAAGGGATTCTGTTAGTTAGTAGACAAAACCTATTTCAAAGGTTTTCAGCAGGCTTTTTGTCGTTTCTGAAATGCCTTTTATGAGTGATAAGGTTGCTTTTTTTACTTGGTTTCGTTGCTGATGGTGTGTGCGATTGGTATTTTTTGATGTAATTGATTGGATAGCTGTTCTCTTGAAGGATGGTTTTCGAGTATTTTTCTTCATTTTTTGAGCTGTGATTGTGTTGCAATCTGTCTTCGCCCTCTTGAATAAAGTTTATACGCAGTTGATATAAAATTCAAACTAATTTTGGGGAAGAATAACTGTCCGTAGCAAAAATGTATTAACGCGCGACTCAATCGAAATCAGAACAAGGTGATTTGGGGTAACAACGGTTCCAAAATTCGTCATATATACAAATGTACAATTTTTACATCAATAGATATTAACACTCAGTTATTGAAATAACAATTGTTCTCACAATAATTAATGTAAATTACAATAAACAGAAAATTGAAAAGAAATAATAGAGAATTACCGAATGATCCAAAAAGTAAGTGTTATTCTATCCTTTCTCGATAGATGAAGTCAAAAATTCAATCAATAAGTTTCTTTATAACACAAAGTGTTTTCAATTCTGGGAAAGTGCCACCATTCACAACCAAAATACACGATCGCAGTCAAATCAAACAGAACAATCAAAGAGAGAACAATCAATATTGCAGCCGTCAGAATAAAATCAATTGAAACAACATAGGTACAGTTCAATAAGAAGCATAGAAACTCAGTGAAAGCATAAGAAAAACTGAGAAAACTAGTAAGAAATGAAGCATCACAATCACAATTGGCATGAATTGGATTAACAATATGTACAATTGAAGAAACCGTTTAGAAGAAATTGCAAATTCATACATGCAGGGACTTTCACACACAAACTTTCAAAATGAATCTTACAGTTGATTTTGTGAGTTCTTTGTTTGTTGCTATTATAGTTGAGAATTCCATTGGTGTGGTTTGGATTCCTGTGCACTTGAGTATCCAGTGTGCATGTGTCGGTTCTGGTGATTAATGAGAGCTTGTTTTTCGACTCGAACAGGCTAAAACTATGGACACTTCTTCCGCACAAAGACATGCCTGAGAAGTTTAATACGGCTCTTCTTCGGGACGTCGAAAAACTCAACAAATCCAAGATTGCCCTCAACAATGAGTTCCAGGCCCTTCATGATCTACTCAATGGACAGGGAACTACTATGGATAGCTACTGGAAAGAGATAAAAAATCAATCATGTCAACATGTCAGGAGGTTCTGGGCCACAAGAAGAACCACCACAATGAATGGATTACTGTTGATACTTTGTGTCAGATCTGACAATGATGGCGGAAAAGGCTGCAAGATTAGGAAACATGAGACAACTGTATGATACAATCAAGAAACTTGTTGGAAATTACCGTAAACAGGAGCGACCAAGGTTAATCAAGGAGGGCAAGGTAATCACCAACATTGAAGAACGCAAGAACAGGTGGATAGAACTCATCAAAAAACTAATGAATCAACCAGCTCCACTGAATCCATCCAAAATTGAAGCAACACCCTCGGAAATCTCAATCGATGTTGGCCCACCAAAAATTGAAATTCAGCATGGCCATCGGACAGGTCAAGTGCTGGAAAGTAGGGGGACCGGACAACAATAACAGTTAAGTTGATGCACCGAAAGTAGAAGTAGCAGCAACTGCGAAGAAATACCACATTCTCTTCAGTAAGATTTGTGATGAAGAACAAACTCCAACAGACTGGAAATACGGACTCCTGGTGAAAATACCAAAAACAGAGTTTAAACTGTCAAATCGTTCATGGAGGACAACTCACCGACTCACTCGACGTAATGACAGTTGTTAGACACGCTTGCTTACTCTCACACTTTCTCTTTCTCCTGGTGATCGACTGGATCATGAAAACGTCAACATCTGGAAGGATTCAATAGACAGCTAGGATGCAGCTTGACGACTTAGACTTCGCAGATGTTTTGGATGTTCTATCACACATACAACCACAAATACAGGAGAAGAAGACCAGTGTAGAAGCAGTACCCTCAGCAGCAGTGAGTCTCAACACACACAGAAGGAAAAGGAAGATGCTGCGGTACAACACAACATACATCAATCGAATCACACTCGACGAAGAAGCGTTGGAGGATGTAAAATTCCTTACACATCTGGGCAACATCATTGGTGAACACGGTGGATCTGATGTGGATGTGAATGTGCAGATCGGCGAAGCATGAGCAGCTTATTTACAACTGAAGGACATCTGGAACTCAAAACAATTGCCAATCAACACCAAGATCAGAATTTTCAATACAAATGTCAAGACAGTTGTAATGTATGTGGCGGAGACGTGGAGAAATACGAAAGCCATCATCCCGAAGAAACAGGTGTTTATTAACAGTTGTCTACGCAAGATCAGTTGACCAGACACTATCACCAACATTCTACTGTGTGAGAGAACAAACCAGATTCCAACGAAGGAAGAAATCGGGAAGAAGTGCTGGAAGTGGATAGAACACATTGAGGAAAGCACTCAACTGCGTCAAATGGCAAGGAATCATGTAGGCCATTACGTCGGGAAATGAAAGGGACATGAGTAGACTGAACGAAGGTTGGTTAGAACTAGAAAGGAAGGTCCAGGGTAGAGAGAGTTGAAAGGTGCTGGTCGACGGCCAATGATCCATTTAGAGTAGCAGGATTAAGTATTACTGATTGATAATGTAATTAGATTTCAGGCTTATTAAATTTCTTTGAGATTTTTGTGCTGTGGAGTATTTTGTCATTTCCCTAGTTGGCTTTATGCGCAACCATTTGTACACACAAATCTACGTCAAGACGTATAGCGGCTAACCAATACTCATACAAGAGTAAACCGCGAGGCTGATCACAATATTCTGTGTCGTATTTGTCCCAGTTTCACCAGTTTTTCATATGTTTGGTGTTTATCCTGCTTTTATTTGTCATTACACCTTTCGCATTTCACAATAATGATTTTACTTGCTTATAGGCTGCAGCTTATGCTGATGGCAGACATTTCTTGATGATGTTTAGCGTCTAACCATTGTTTCAAAACACATGTATTTTCATTTCTCGTGGTACTTCAATGTCTTTGTCCTTTTGAGTAGTGTTTACATAAGATATATTCTTTGCATAAATGCATTGTTGCTGCTATAGGTGAGTATTCAACCAGTTTGGTTTGTCATTCTGTATAATAAGTTCCAAGATTCTTTTTGCTGATTCCTTCGGCTGTTTTTTTTTCTACTTCAAACGAGAATTTTATGTTGACCGAAATGGCGGTGATCAATTTGTAAGTACTTTGCAATAAATTCTGCTAGATTATGATGAATGTATTGTCTGTATAGTAAACCCTACCACTTTTAGACGGATCAAATTTTTGCCATCACGGATACCATCTTTTCTAAAAAGATGGACACCACAATAAATTCTAATGATCACATATTGCACTTCTTCTTTTTTTTCTAGATAATTCTGGAGGCTAAGTTTCACAACTTATCAGAGTACATGGAGCAAGTGGATAAATTCTTTGATCGACAAAATGATAATCACCTGGTAATGTCAAAGAGACATGTAAGTCATTAAGATTAGCTCAGTTATTTACAATCAACTGATAGTGTGATCTTTCAGTAAATTGTACTTCGCTAATCAATTGACCGCAATTCAATCCTTCATTATGTGTGCTTGAAGAACGTATTTAAAAATGGAAGTTCGATTATGAAGTTAACTCTGAAGCGTTTCGAATTCACTTAGTCAGCGAACGCGAAAAAGACTTGTGACCAGAGGCTCATAAGCTAGCTATTCTGAGGCGTCCAAGTTGAACGATGGGAATGCATGTTCCGTAAGCAGCCTGAAGCACAGTAATCTTAATGAGAATAAATCAAACGTATATGCACAGCGAAAAATTGTCATTCAGCAGCGTTTCAAAAAAGCCCACTGAAAGATACAACAGACCAATAGCATTTAAGATATTTTCCAAATTGAAATACTAGTCGAAAGTGAAAAGAGCGCTTTTGTCGCGAAAACAAAAAAATCAAATTTTCAAAAATAGATTACGTGAGAATAGAATTATGAGATAAAAACTGATTACAGCTGGAAGAAATATAAATACACAAATAGTGAAGTAAAAAACCAAACTCATTGAATACGTTTCCTGCGCACAATCATTGAACTTGTTGATATATGTTTCCATGCTTTCCGTGGTATGAAAGGAACAGATTTTGGAAGCATAGGTCAAGAGCGATGGAATTTCATGTTTGACTCTGTAAAGCGAATTGGTGGAGAGATAGTTACTAGTATCAATCAAGGTATGAAAGCGTTTATCTTTCTCCTTGGTGACCAATTCACTTTACAAAATTCAACATTATTTAAATAAACTTATTCAGGCAAGCTATATTATGTTTTCTTATGAATGTATTGTAATGTGCTCAACTCCCCAGTAAAATTATCAATAAAATGCAGTACACGAAAACTTGAATCATTTGAAAATCAATCACCATTCTAAACGAGAGAGGCACGATGATGTAAATTTGTCAGTCGCCTGCACGTTTTTTAAATTAAGGTTTAACAAATGCGAAAATTACTATATTACTTTGATCTGACTCCTTGAGTAATGTAATTTTGCATTTATGCTTATTTGTTATAGTGTGAAGGAAACGTAGAAAACGTGTCGTGAAGCGCTTTTGTTATTCTGAAAGTTTTTCAGGATTTCAACATGCAACGATTCAACGCTATTATTGTTAGTTCGATGAGAAATAATAGTGATTCAATGAAATATTGTTAAAGATTATTTCATAACAATTTGTTAGTAAACATGTTTGGCAAATAGTTGTGGAAAATTTACTTACAATTGTAGATTAGAAGCTGTAGAGTTTCTTTGTTTACACCACAGTTTCATCTAAGGTTGACAACAGTTAAAAACCAGAGAGTAGTGGACATGTTTCTTTTGGGAATCAATTCCAGCTCACTATCTTAAAGGCTATGCACATCTTAGCGATTGTCAAATTTACTCAGTGTATTCTTTAAGGGAGTTATTGGTGTGGATTGCAATATAGTCCTTTAATAGGACGAAATATGCGCCCCCCATACATCCACGTTTTCCACTGCTATTCAACAAAATGTGGCCTATGATGAAAACTACGGAGTTTTCATTTTACAAAGAATATACATCAAGTTCAGTCTTTAGAATTCTTTTTCAATGAGTAGAAACTGCGCATTTTGAGAACAAAAATGTTTCCCATGTTATATTATATATAATTTTATCACGTAGAATTTAGACCGACCACTTTATCATTATCATTATAGAGAAGGAATCTGCTTTGTCATTTTCCCAACTAATAGGACCTAAATGAGGAGAAATTGGGATCGATTTCCGAAAAAAGCATTGGAAGAAAAAACACTCTTCCAGCTAAACAAAGTGTTTATTTGGCGACAGATGATCCGAATGTTTTTACTCAATTTTCCTACAAGCATCCCAACTACATTCTTTATGGTAGTCCAGGTAGATCCCATTCAGCTGATATGGAGTTCCGAATGACATATAATTCAATGAATAATGCAGTCATTGATGTCATTGCACTTTCATTGACGGATTTCCTGGTGTGTACATTTTCATCGAATGTAAGTAATATAGTTTGACTTTTATCTCCAATATTACGTTGTTTGTTTCGACTGAAATTCGAATGAAACAAACAACGTTGAATAAACAGTTCACGTTCATTGTACAGAGGTGCAGTGATGATTACCACAAGATTGAGAATCATTCATCAATAATGATCGAGAAATACAGAAGTATTTTGCTAGTCGATTGGATGATTTCCATTACCAGCATTTGATACCCTGAGTGTATATCTCTTAGCTCTCTGTGAAAAATGTTTTTCTGGATGTGAGTATAAAATCACAGGATTGAAGCGAAACTACTATTAGGTTTAAAATAATCTACAATAAGACGTATAGTCTTTGTCTGCTTAAAATATTGTCAGTATAACTTATGGTTTGAAGTCAATAAATTATCATCATGAATTTCCTTTTCCGAATGCCGTACTATTCATTACAGACTGGCTATTATGATTAATCCATGATTACAATTTGAAGTAGTAAGCGAATAGTGTTTGGAGCATTCCTGTATCAATTCATAAAGGACGAAATAGCTACATCCCCATTTATGAAAAGTTGAGTCGAGAAACAATTATAAGCTTTTATTATAGATATCTGGAATTTTGGTTGCAATGTTTCACTAGTCGTCAAGCTGTCTTGCATGTGGTATTTTTCAAAACTAGTCACTAGTGAGCACCGGTAGTCCTTTGTTCGCATCCTGCGTGCATAATCTAGGGTGCTCACTGCCGGTGAGTCTGATAATACGACAACACAACCGTCCAGTGCTCCCAGGTTTTCTGTGGAGGTCAAACGTAGATAGGTTCATGATTTTAAAGATGTTCAACAATCCCTACAACCCCAAAATGAATCTGTTTACATTTGAGTCAACGGTTATACAATTTCACTCAAAATCCTAAGCCTTGAAAGAACAGCGGTTGAGATTCATCATCAAAATTTGATGGTAATCTCTAAATAATCTCATTAAATATTCTCACAATCCATATATAATGATTATTCATTTTGTATTTTTCTTAGATTTGTCGTTTAGCCTATGAGTTAATGCAAACGCGTCATATGGAGTTGGGTGATGCAACGCAATTATGTCATTCCATCGATTTAGCATTCCATGAAGAAGATTATAAAAGACTTAAATTTGATGTGATTATACCAGATAAGAAAGTGCATTTAAAGTATGGTGATATAGTAGATACCTTCAAAAATCATGGGAACGGTTTAGCGTCAGTAAAATTAAACCAATCAAGTAAAAAAAAAGAAAGTAACAACCAAATGTATATGGAAAACGAATTATTCATTGTACCTGCTTACAAGTTTAGACCCAGAATAAACATAACTTGGTCCAACTGACGCAAGTGAGATTATTTCGACAGACTACATATCACTTTGGATTCAGTTGTGCGGCGCCATCTTTTTTCCAGCTTCATTTTTGGTGCCTGACATTAACCTACACATAGTTAGAAATATATATATTCAGACTCTTATAAATCTGTTGACTTTCACTTATTTGTCTTTCAGTTAATTATTTGCTCGAATTGTAATGTACTATCGAAGAGAATTGACTCATAAATCAACGCTGACAAATTAAAGTCCATTATCAACAAGATGAAAATATTTATTTCAAATTTATGATTGTTTATGCATAGAAAAAGAAATTGAAAATAGTTTAAATTTATTATTTGTGTGTTTATTCAATCGAAGAATCGAAGCACATGAACGTGATATGCATGAAAATGAAAAAGAATGTCCAAGAAAATCACATAAGACGAAAGTGATTGTTACCATTGTTGAGAGAGTGTAATTACGAAGACCTTGGTTAACCTAAAAAAGCTGCCACATCTTTCATATGGTAGCAGATAATAATGAAGATTTTACGATGAATATACTTCATGATATTATCACTCATATGCGCGAGTCACCAGTCATTAGTTAGCGTAATGCAGTTTGAGCGAAATTGAACTACAACATTTGCGATTACATTCGTAAAAGGAGAAACTGAGAACAAGTGAATGTAAAGAGTGCCAAATTGACTGATTAGTGTGATAAGCTTCGAATTTCTATCGTAAATGATTTTGACTATTGACAACAATGGCTTGACTTGATTACCTGAATCGCTCAACACATAATCACCTACATACATAAATCTGTTGATATTCTATGAAGTTAATTTTCCCGGATGACATGACCAGCTAACGTGATTCAATTTACTATCTGGGTGCTTTCTGATGAATAATTAACACAACTTTCTGTTCCTTTCCTTGAGAAATATTTCTGTCATTCGTCACATAATTGTAGAATGATTTCTGCACAACTACCGGATCACGTCGTTTAATTGTTGAGTATTTATGATGAATAATACCTCGTAAAAGCGTTCACGAACTTTTATTGATGATAACTGTATGTTGTCAAATGGTGAACTTCAAGTCGACTCAAAAAATTATGGGATCACACTCGTGTGATCAGTAGTAAGTCACGCTTCTGATCAACTAAAATGAGAAGCGACATTATCATAGTATACGGCGATTCGTTTGAAATTGTCGCTTTTTTCACATGTTAGGAATTTAACAATCTTCTATCTAGTACAACTTCCACTGTTACTGTTTAAAATAGTAGTGCCTCTCATAACTAACTTATCTGGCATACTTCTTTGTGAGGTAGACTAGTTTTGACCAACTACCATAGTCTGTTCTGATCTTTAGACACGTTACTGGACCAGACGATGTATTAGCAGTGGAAGAAATGACCTGCAATGGATCTAGGTGATTTGAATCAAGCAGATCAGATGAAAATATTAAGGAAATGTAGTTAGTGAACATGCGTCACCCAACTATGATAATATTACCCCGGTTGTTCAACATCTCAACCTTGAAATCAAGATTCAGTTTGTTGAAGCTTTGAATATCACATATGATATAGAAAATGGTCACGAAAAGACGAATATATTTTTGATGAGATCACTAATAAGATAAGTGCAAATACCACCCGATGAAGGCATGCTTTACAAAATCAGAAACAATAAGACAATGACCACTATTACAATGTAGTGATGAATCGATCACCGAAGTAAATAGCCTATCAATGGTTCAGTACTGATACTGACCGTAGTTCTACAGAACACACCCTAGCATGAAGCGCTCGAACAATCACTTACACCAGATCACCAGTGAGTACGCCATTCTACTCATCCATTGCATCTACTATCCAACTCAACACTTTGACGACACTTTCAAGTATACCTTCGAACCCGAACGTTCTTGACTTATGATTTGACTGGATTGATATCCCTTGATTAGGTATTGTCTAGGTGTTAGGAACAAAGGCTTTACCAAACTCTGAATACCCGTGGCACCTTAACTTGCTGAAAAGCAGCTAAAAGAGACAAAAAACGAACAACAACGAAAAAATTAGAGCTTTGATATGGCTGAAATGAAGTAACGGAGAGGAACTCCTTATCGCTGAACAGAATGTGCAAATACATATGCATCGTCTAGCGCAGAGCAGATCAATAGTGGAATACGCGAACCCAGCCACATAAAAATTTGCGGTAATACACGTTGTTGAAATTGAAATACATATTGTCCCCCTTCCTAGGAAATCGAAGACAAAAACACTAAAACTCGGCTACAAATAAGTGACTGAAGATACAAATATTAAACTAACTAACTAACTAGTAAGTACCTTAACGCTCTCGTTACAATGGTTATCAGCCCATCAATAGTTGCGCATAAGGGATACCGGTACAGTATGTCCGAAAACCCATGCCAAGGAGACCATCAACTGTCAATACATCAAAACTGAGGACAACTAGCTTTCGTTAACAATATATCGGATAACATGACATCACCGAATGTGGTAAGAAATCTAGGAAACTGCATTTGTGACACTTATGAAATGTACATTGATCCATTATCGACCTCATCATAGGAAACAGGCAAATAATCCACCTATTGTATTAGTTTACATGAAATCGTGGTGTTTTTTATGGTTATATTAATCAATCCACGCTCTTTAAATTATAAGATGTTACCCCGGAACAATTTCCACACAATTTCCACAATTTCCACAAAAGACTAATGCCGTTCCTAACAACCAGAGAAGCTGTTTTTATTTATTTACTCGGACACATGAACATTGATACAAAGAGGCATCATATACACGTTTTGTAGGTATATGGAAAATCCGGACGACGTGATGGATTAGTACAACAAGTCAAACAGCTATGGAGATGCGGAGATACAACTTGGCGGTTCTCGGAGCCCGCGAAAACCATTGGACGTAATTTAGAAAGAAAAAGTTAAGCACGGGAGAGATACAGTTGTACCGTGGTCACGAACAGGAAAACGCTCCACACATTCAGAGAGCATCCTTCAAAATAATGGATGGGATTACAATTATCACTATGCACTATTATGCACCTACCAGCGATAGCGATGACGGGGATAATAATCAGATCTATGAGAGACTGCAATCGATCATAACAAAGTGCCCAAGAAGGGACCTGACAATACTGACGCCAAAGTCGGAATGGATAACAACGGTTCCGAATATATGTTGAAACGACATGTACTGGATTGACTGGGAGAAGGAAACTAAGAATGGAGGGAAATGACTCTGATTGGCCCAGTGGTGAGAGTCAATGTTTTTACTCGGAATGCTCAAAAATAGCAACGTGCACACCTTAAAGTGGTACACTCTTTTTCTCCACATGAGCTGAGCAATATTCAGAATTGCTTCAGCACGGAGCTTAACAAGGTAGCACAGTGGTGCTCGAAATGGCAACTGAACCTCGATCTTACCATAAATAGGGTAATGTTATCCAGGTTACATGCAGTAGTAGATCTAGGACTTAGGTACTCCGACGACTTGTCGTTTTCTGAACTGATAATGAAACAAACGTCCAAGTCTCATCGCCTTATAGGTTACATAACTTGAAATCTTCATAACGGTGAATCACGTATATTAATGTACAAAGTCTGTGTTCGAACACTCCTCGAATACTGCGCGTTTCTCCTTAGTAGCACGCGCATAAAGTATAAATTAAGACTGGAATCAGTACAAAGACGATTTACACTTCGTACTTATGGAACTGATAGTGCCTTGACATATAATTGAAGGTGTGATAAACTCGGTCTTGACCCTTTATGGAAGAGGAGACTCAAACTTAACCTTGTCTTCTTTTTCACATTACTTAACAAACTTTCTTTTACATCCAACCAGGCGATTCAATATGCTAAGGCTTCACATTACGACATTCGTAACTCCTTGTCTTTAGCCAAACAAACATATTCTAGATTTTCTCTCTATATGAATTACTTTAGCTGTAAGTTTTCTAGGCTCTGAAATAATCTACCTCAAACTCTCCGTATGTTAAACTATCTCCCATTATTTGTTGCTCCATTATTACTCCTCTGAAAATGCATTAAATGTTCTGGCGCCTGCAAGTTTATCTTACTCCACAAGTGAGATTATCGAAACTTTAAATGTCTAACCACGTAAATGGAGTCATTTTACATTAACACTGTCACTGGCAACTATAACTGGTTTGAATAATATCTAACATAAACAGTGGTAACCTGATCTGAATATTTTGGCAATCATTGTTCTGTTGATCCGTGCTCTTTACTTTAATCTTACTTTCTCTATTTATCAATAACTCGCTCTGGCACTGAAAATAACTATACACAACAACGTTCATAAGTCATCAGGCTATCCACTTATGAAGAAATGAAAAGTTCTCTGGTGTTGCATTGGCTTACCGTGATATATGCCATATATAAACTATTTATCAATTACTAAACCAGCAAACATAAAACTTTCCTATATTTAATGTTTGCTCTTCACATTAAATAATGATTTTTATAACAATCTGATCATGCCTGTAAACTGTTGTGAATTCTGTAATTATTATTTTCAGAATATATTATTATTATAAACGATGATCAGTCAGTTATTCTGTCAGTCGTAAGCAATGTAGAGAACCTGTCATTTTTTGCATTGTATAGCATATTTACTGATTCAGTAGAACGTATCACTGAGTCATTGCCTGAAGATACTGATGGAACATGACCCAAACAGTTCTAGTAACTTTGGAGTATTTCCTTTCGCAAATGGATGTCACTTGTAGAAACGATAAAAACTAGAGAATAATAAACTTTCATGAACCCGAATAAAGTCAAGACTTTCGAATATCACGTCATGAATCTCATCATTCGATAGATTAAGACTTATTCAACTGTGGAAAAGTATTATATTTATGATGTTCGAGTCTTTATTCGTTTGTAAACCTCTTGTTTACTAATCCTAAATGTATGCTAACTTTCATTGAAGATAGTTATATTCTTTCCATTTGAAACATACAGCTGTTCAAAAATATACATTTTCACAGACGAAGACTATGAATATGAGTAAATCATGAAAGTGAATAGCGATTAAAGCCGTCACTTGAAGTTCTCAAGCCAAAACAAAAATGTGAGGAGATCAAAGAGTACAATGCACTATAAGTCGGGAGCAGAATTGACAGGAATGAATAACAGGTAAGGAGAACTTGAAACAGAATTGTACTCTTTGTTATGTCTATATTTCCTTCACAGTTTACATTATCTTATTTACTTTGGTTGCCATATTTAACTAATTTTCCCTCAATATAATAGAAACATATACCTACATCTCCCTACCACACTCTACATTGTCAGTGGCTGTTACTAAAATACTGTGTGAAGAACATTTACGACCACACTTTCCCAAGTAGACAGCAACGTAAATGACAATCGAAAACATAATGGTCAAATAAATGAGTGATAACTGCTTGACCACCCGTATAAATGTGTTTATTCATTTAAATGTCTTTTATTTATTTATCCACTTATTTATTTGAACACAAATATTGGAAAAACTGTGCACCATAAACATGTATGCCACACATTAAGTTTATAATTGGTGGTAAAGCACGTTATTTCTAAAGCCTAACGTGTAAAACACCATCAATGATTGTGAAGATCAAATAAAAATTCAGGAAACACAGTTATTGAAGGGAGTATGAGTCAGTCAGTCAGTCAGCTACAACGTAGGACCAGGCACATTTATGCATCGGTTCAAGTTATCATACCACATTAGCACAACTAGATGAACATCGGATTAATTAAAGTAGTGAATCCATTGGTGGTAATATATAAAAGAAAGGTCGTTTATACGGATATAGTATAGGGAGAAGACAGATATGAATCGATTTAATTATCAAGGTTTAAGAGAAAATGAAGATTGTATACACATTTGCGCCATTGTGATTGATTCTGAGCCATGTCACTTAGAGTCTCAAACCATTGGTTACGAAAGTATGAAGCATATGATAAAGGAAAACATGTAAGCCATTGTTTGGACTGCGGTGCGTAAGTGTCAATTCGCAGTGACTTTTTGAGGGCAGACGAATTGTAGTTTTTTTATGGCCACTAGGTGCGTTTGTGTGGGATTATTGTGACGCACAGAACCAACTTGTTGAATGCACAT